TGAAGCTTTCCTTGCCGCGGACGTGCTCTCTGTGGTTGCGGATGCCGTGCACGTGGGTGCGGACGATTGGCTTAATGTCTTCGTGTACAATCACCGGTCGGGCAAGACTTGGATGTGTCCACCACAGGCCGGAGCCTGAGTTGACATTCGTCCGAGGCATCATTCCATGGACGCGTTAGAGAGGTTTTTGGGCACCCATTTTTAGTCGCCGAAGTTACGCGCGCATCCCTTCTGTTACCTGGTTCCGAGGCTATGCGCGCATCCCTTCTTGTCGGCCGTTCCGGGAGCGTGTTTTTTTTTACGTCCGCGTCCCTTCTACTCCGCTTGCGCGCGCATCCCTTCTTCTTTTGCCGCGTGGCCAAAAAAAACGCAAACGTATACTTTTGCTTTTCGTCGTGTCTTCGTGCCGCAGGCCTCGGATTTCGACCTCGTATGCGCGCATCCCTTCTCTTCGCGCGCTCCGCTCGCATCCCTTCTCTTCGCGGCGCCTTTTCCTACGCTCGCATCCCTTCTTTTCGCGGCTGCGCTCGCATCCCTTCTTCTCGGGGCCGTTTCCGCTACGCTCGCATCCCTTCTCTTCGCGCCGTTTTCGTCGTTCGAGGCCATTTTGCGGACCGGAAACGTCCGCCGGAAACTCGTTTTGCCGTACCCGACTTTTGCCCCTTTCTGCAGGTCGTGGCCGGGACGAGGTTGACTGCAGAGGATTGGTCGGATCTGTGGAACAAGCGCGTGCAAACGTTCCTCGGCCGTAAAAGGGCCGGGCCCAAAAGGTCAGACGAGAATGCGAACGTGCAAGACCGGCTGGCCACGCTGAACTGGATGCTGGATGTGAATCATGCTATGAAGCCCATTGGACGGTCGTTCGCAAGTTTTGCACCGATGGTTCAGGAGGAGACAGTGCAGAAGTTGGAACGGCCTCCGATCCTGATCTTGTGCACGGATCAGGAAGCCACGCAGCTTGCGGCCGTGGCTTATTTGAAGAATAAGAAAAAGGTCTTCGTCGAGCACGTCTCGGATCCTGCTCACCGGTCGCACAACGACGCCTCACTGGCGTTGTCCGCGGTCGGTCTTTTAAAATTCAGCGCTTGGTCGCTCAACTTATACAATCTGCGTTTCGGTCCTTGGCAGAAAAGCGGAAGTTGGTCGTCAAAGATTCAGGAGACCGCCGATCAGATGTCGAAAAGTATGTCACCGTCGGACCCACTGCTGCTGGAATTCTTCCCAGACATTCTGGCAGATGACGGACGAGGACCGGACGAGAACACCGAGGAGGAACGCAGAAGATTCTTGGCCGAGCTGCCGCAGAAGACCTGCATCCGTACAAAAGGAATTCGGGCGAGCAGCAGCAGGTTCAATTCGCTGACCAGTGTGCATTCAGAGCGGATGGTGCAAGTCCGCTTCCAGCCTGTACGCCCCCGGTCGATTCTCTGGAGCTTCGGCCGTTCGTGCTTCGGGGTCAAAGGTGGCAGCCAAGGCTGCAGCCAAGGCTGCAGCCAAGAGCGAGCTGAACGCCGAGCGGCAGGGACATGCGAACACACTGCATCTCATGACCAAATTTATCTGCTCCTACGACAATAAAATGCTTGCCCGGACGGTCTTTCAAGTTCTTCAACCAGAAGAAGTGCGTTGCAGCCTGATGCTGAGGGATGTGCGAGGTCCAGACCGGACGGTCGAATTTTATGCCAGCTGGGCCCATTGGTCGTGGATGAGAACGGCCAAAGAGCACCTAGCAGTTTGGCGAGATTTGTAATCGTTGGCTCGCATGGGCTTCCAGATGGACGTGGCCTCGGCCGGTGCACGGTCCGTCGAGGAACTCGAGTTCGAAGATGGACAGGCAGGTCTGGTGGTTGGTCTGACCCACAACATCTTGAGATACAGAGCCGGGTCACAGTTGTTCTACACCAACGGGTTTGGAGCCACGGCCGGTCTTCTTCATCCAGACGGGCGTCGAAGGGATAACAGCAGGTCTTTTCTTCGGGAAGTTCATCGGGTGTCTGCGGCCGTACAAGATTCTGGCAGTCGACAAGCCAAGCGAATGCTCGCGGATCACTCGTCGCAGGCCCCCGTCATGCAATGGATCTTGTCCAAATTGGCCGAGCAGGACTTTATGACGGTTGCGGACGATCTGGTGCAAACTTTGAAGGAGATATGGTCAGGCTTGCTTAATAGTAAGCTGGTGGAGGACTGTAACAAAATCCAACGCGAGGCCGAGCAGCGGAACAAGACTTCCAAAGACCTCGGCCGCCTTGAAGGCTGGAGTGGCGTCTCAGAGCAGCGACACGTGGAAAACTACGGCCGATCGGAAGTGAAGGGTGATCAGCTGTTCCACGTTCCGGCCGAGTTCAACATTCGACATTTATTCACCCGGACGGGCAATCGGTTCCTGACAAGCGAGGACGGGTCTCGTCGAGTTCCCGAAGAAACGGCCGAGGAGGAGTTCCTAAAGGGTGTTACAAAGCAACGAGACTGGGCGTCGCGCAATCATAACGAAGAGCAGAATGTGCTGGCCGATTTCAGCGTAGTCCAGAAGGCCGTGCGGGAGGGTCATTACGGGATATGTGAAAAAGCTTGGTTTTCGGGACTTCTTCCCGAGAAGCACGCCATCCTGGTCGGGCAGCCAGTTCGAGCACTGTACGTGCTGAGAACATACAAGAATGCAGCGCTCTGCTGGCCGGGCAGGATGGAGAATCTGTCGGCCGAGCCTGAGCGACGCCGTTTCCTGTTCGATGAGACGGTCGAGTCGTTGTACTGGATGATACAGATGGACACGGACATTCGCATCTTGGACTTGGAAGCTGTTTCGCCCTCAAGTTCCTGAGCAAATACTTACGATCGATTTGTTTAGTTTCGGTTAGTACTTTTGGTTGATAGGAATCGAAGAACGTTTAAAATTATGAACTTGGAAACCAAGGACAGAGCAGCTGGACTCAGGAACGCGGACATGGGGTCGGACTTGCAATCCTGGGCGAAAAAGATCTGCTTGATTTTCACGCCGAGCACGGCTTCGCCGGCATCCGGGAGACCTTACTAAGGAGACTCATGGTCGAGATGGAGTGGACACTTCCCGAAATGGTTCCCGGCCTAGAAGCAGAGCATCAACTAGCAATCAGCGCCATGATGCATGTGGACCCAACTTTGATCCTGGACGAGGTGACTCAAAAGGTCGTGCGCCGACACGAGGCCGAGCGGTGGTGTCCGGACGTGGATGACGAGGACTTGGAAGTGGTTGTCCGAGAGAATTTGCTGCAGGGTGAGCAGGATGAAGCACTGCGAGAATTAACGCGCAGGAAAAGTAACGTCACCCCTGCCAGCATCAAGTCCAACGTCAAGAAATCTTATCAAAAGTCGTCGGAGGCCGTGGACCCCGGTCGATGGAAAGCTGCTGATGCCCGGCGGCGGGCGAAGGAGAAGGATGCGGAGAATCGAGCCAAGCAGAAGGGGAAGACGGTCGAGCGGGTGTACAACAAGTTATCCTCCAGCATCGACGAGCGCATGCGAGTTCTACTTCCCCCGGTCGTGAACGTGCACGCAGATCCAGACAACGGTCGTTGGAGGATGAACTATCGGAATGCTGTCATCCAGGTGGGCCGTTCAATCTCTTGGACGATGATCGGTGAAAGGACTGCAGCCTGCGAGGTCGTTCGACAGGCATGGTCGTGGGCTGAACAGCACGAAGGAAGTGTAGCTCCGGCAAATTTGGAGAGTAAACTAGAAATGCTTGCGAAAAATGATCGAGGTAAAAAAACCTCGTAGGCATTCGGCCGTGGCAGTGGAAAGAAAGCAGCTAGAACAAGTTCATGCCAAGTGTTGCGACAGAAGAGAGAATGCAAAGGCATGCATTTCATAGGTGAGCTCGTGTCCGTAGCTTCTCGCTCGAGCCGTGTAGATAGCTTTGAATTCTCCGGTCGGTCGATCCCATGGCAGAACGACTTCCTCGCCCCGGCCTGGAAGCAGGACGTGCAGCGGCAAGCGGAGGTTTGCACGGACGAGCAGCGGTTCCAGGGACGGGCTATGGGGGATTGTATATCCCCGCGCTGCACATGTGGCGCCCGGCCGTGGAATGGGCAATGACCATGATCAGCAACATGGACTCGGACGAGCAAAGATTGGCCGAG